TCTTCCAGGTGGAAGACTTTCCAGACGACTTAATTATAAGTCTACAAAGACTTCCAGTAGAACATTTGAAAGCTGACCTGAAATTTCGGAGAAGATGTACTCGCCTTCGACATAGCGGTTATAGAACTGCAAAAATAGACGTGAAAAAAGAAGCGCGATTAGAACATTTGAAAGCTGACCAGACGAATGAGAGGAAAACAACATCCAACCTAACTAAACAACAAATCGATTGAAAGCCCCAATTTTTGAAACCCTAATTTGAAACCAAAATTTCCAGAAATCGTTGAAATCACAAAACAAAACGGTAAAAGTAAAGGAAAACAACATCCATCCTAATAAAAACCCATAAATCCGCAAGAGAAGCCTTCGATTTACCTTGGTCTTGAATCGGAATCGCCTCGAAATCACCTTTGAGAGAAACGGCCTTACGGTTTTCTGAATTTCGCGAAAAGTGAGTAAAAAAAAAAAAACTTCTTATATATGTCCGGTAAAAAATCCGGTTCGGTTTAAAAGTAATTCGGTAAAATCGGGTTTGGACGACTTATAATTAAATCTTCCGGCTGATGACTTTCCAGAAGACTTAAATATCAGTCGTCTACTAAGTCGCCCAGGCTTTTCGAGTATGTTTTAAGAAATTGTGTTAGAATTTGTTAGACTTCTTAGACGTCTAAGGAGTCTGGACGACTTAGTTGAAAGTCGTCTGAATAGAATACTTACGAGGTTAGACGACTAATAGTTAAGTCGTCTGACAAATCTTACGGCTGATGACTTTCCAGACGACTTAAATATCAGTCGTCTACTAAGTCGTCCAAGATTTTCGAGTATGTTTTAAGAATTTGTGTTAGAATTTGTGTTAGACTTCTTAGACGTCTAAGGAGTCTGGACGACTTAGTTGAAAGTCGTCTGAATATAATACTTACGAGGTTAGACGACTAATAATTAAGTCGTCTGACAAATCTTCCGGCTGATGACTTTCCAGATGACTTAAATATCAGTCGTCTACTAAGTCGTCCAGGCTTTTCGAGTATGTTTTAAGAATTTGTGTTAGAATTTATGTTAGACTTCTTAGACGACTAATAATTAAAATTGGTTTGTACATAGAGGACAAAAGGAGTTGTAGTTATAAAAGTTGATCATCCATTACAAGTCATAGGTTTAAAAACAAATTGAAACAACGGAACAACAACATAGAAGTCCATTAGACGCAGATTACAATAAGACGATAGCAAGACAAACATCCATCATTTAGGAAGGGACGAGGAAGTTGAGACACCATCCGCAGCATCATCCCCTTGAGGAGGTGTATACTGAATCTCAGTAAAACTAGGACCGAAAGGAGTCACATGAAATACCATGTCTCCTTCCTTTTTGAACACGAGAATGTCACCGATGCAAAGGGAGTGTGCTTGGGCGAAGGCTTCCCAACCATCGGTGAGTCTTCTTCCTTCTTGTATAACTTCCCAAGTTTG